CCTCGCTCCCTCCCTTCCCTCCCCTCACCCTGACCATTTCCCCCCTGCTCGGGTCCTGACCTAACTGTCCAGCGCCTTGGGACGTCCTCCCGACGTGAAAGACGCTCTGTAAATGAAATGTTGTTGTTGTAGGTTCAAGCCCCATCTCTAGCTTTGAGGAAAAGTCTATGCTGACACTTTGGGGGGAATGCTGCGTTTTTGTAGGTGCCGTCCTGTCATTTGTGTGATTATGGTCTCCCATGTGAAAGTGCTATGTAAGTGTAAATTCTGTTTATGCAGGAATCTACTTAATGAATTACTAAAACATTTGCTCAAGCTCAATTCAAACATCATCCATTTGAATTTGCTATTGTGGCTGTTTCATACATCTATTTCTTGTTCTTGTGACTCACAGTCAGATTGGATTTGATTTAAAAACAGAGTTCTGGCTTAATTCCTCATTATATTTAATGATTTATTAAAACGCAGCTCAAACGTACACTGCAGTGTGATTTTGACTGTTTACATTTCTATTTCCTGTTCTCAGGATGTTTACACTTTAAAGTGTAGTGACTGTGTTGTGGGAAAACCTAGTAGCCAATTTGCACACTGTTGTGTGTTTGTACATATACACTACATTGAGATTGATGTGTAATAACAAATAGCATTTCAGTATCTTGGAAATAATCTCTATGATTAATAGAATATAATTTTTTTAAAAATTGACGTGCCCATCTATTTATTATTTCACTGTCCTTCTGTTTTTTATTGCATTAAATGTGTAAATTTTGTGTACTGAGGAGTTCTTCCAATCTTTGTATCCTGCTTTTTAATCTGGCTCTTATGATTGTAAGTCATTTTCTTGATCTGCACCCGATAAAAATGTTGCATTGTGGAAGCCATGGTTGGTCTGTGAATGAAATTATAATAAGGCTTGTTTAAGCTCTCGGAATCAATGTAGAATTTGTCAACTTCAAATTTCTTACATTACCAGTTATCTTCCCCATCTCCATGCTCCTCTGCTCCCACCCCAGTTCAGCTACCCACCAGTCTTCCTGGTGGGAAAGGCGCTATATAAATCTGTATTGTATTGATTGATCATTCATAGTTTAGAAGGTGACATCTGATGCCATATAAACGTTGTTCACAAATTCTTTTTAAGTGGTAGAATGGCTTTATTTAGGCTATTCTACAGAGTCCTGTAGCTCAGCAGTTAGAGCACTTGCCTCGTAAGCGAGAGACCAGGGTTTGAGTCCCGGCAGGGCGAAACCTTGGGCAAGTTTCCTTTCTCCACACCTGATAATAATCCCTCAAGAAAGAAAACAATAATAAATTAGTCACTTCAATCCACAGCTGTTTGTGAGACACTACTATACACAAATGGCTGCCACGTTTCTCCCACAAATTATACAGTCAATTCACTAGGCATCAGCCGACATGTTAAAACAGTGATATTTGGCGAAAAGTTGTTAATTTCCTTACTGCACACGCCTCTGCTTACCTAGCAGTTAGTAGAAACTTGGTCGTTAGTCAATTGGCAAATCGCTTTTCCGGAAGTAACAATTCCTTAATAACAAATAACAAATTGGTCACTCAATCCATGACTGTTTGGGGGACATTGCTGTGTGCAAATGGCTGCCGTGTTTTGCCAACAAATTATACAGTCAATTCACTTTGCAGTGTATTCTATGAAGTGCTTTGAAACATCTTGAAGATGTGATAAGGTGCTGTATCAAATACAAGGATTATTGTTACGTACATACTTTTTACATTGCAGAAAGGTCCTTTTTTGGATTATACAAGAGCTATTGGTAGCTGTTCTGAGAGTGCAAATAAAGTAGTGACATTGAAAGTGAAAACTAGAAAGATAAGGTTATGAATAACATTCAATAAAGTCGTGTTTCAATTCATTTTTGAAACTTAATTTTCTTTTTCCTTTTAAAAGTATGTCTCTACGGTTTAAGTTTGCCTGTTATTGTGCACCATTCCCTCAGCTAACGGGCAGACACGTACCCTGCACACATGCCTCTCAGTGTGGGAAGTGCATGAGAACAGACAGGATATGGGGGGGTGGCTGTGGTTAGAAAGAAGTGTAACCTGCTCATTGATTTTTCACAAATGGTTAGTCAGCGACTTTAGCTGCTTTGCATATGTGCAGGCGAGAAGAGAAGCATTAGTATTCAGAAAGGGAACTGAAATGTCAATTGAAGACTTGCTATAAAATCTTGCATGTGCATCATACTTTAAGAGGTATTTTTTTGCGAGCAGCAAGTGGGTAGGGGGGGATTTTTGCCCTTTACCATCTCACTTGTAATTTCTCACATTCTTCATATTTTGCAGTGTCCATAATTTGATCTTGTCAGCAAAATTATGGTTCCCCGCCATCCAGCAAATCCGAGAAACATCTACGTGCCTTTCTCTACACTGTCTTCATTCAGCACTCAGTCTCTCCTTGCCGCCTTTACTACCATGTGCTTTATTTATCTCAATGGTCTCTTACCTGACAACTTCTGAAATCCACTCTGTGGCTGCCTCAAAGGAAATTGATTAGTCAAGTGTGACCCGCTCTTCACAACTCAATGCTGATTCTCCCAAATCGATCCCTACCTTTAAGCGTTCACAAATGGCATCCTTCTTAATTGTTTAAGAAGTTTATCCACGGCGGAGGTAACACTAATCAATTTAATCTCCCATCTTGTCCTTTTCCTGAACCGAGATGCAACATTTGTCGCCCACTAATCCTTCCATACATTTCAGTTTCCAAAGATTGTTTGTAAGATTTTGAGCAGTGTCTCTAATTGTCTCCCTTCCAGACCTAATCTAACCAGAATACATATCCATCATGGTACTTCTTAAATAGCTTGTCTTCTTTCAGATTACGATTTGGTCCTGTTTCAGATTTCCAGCCTTTTTGTTTTTTGTTTTCGACTTTCTAACATCTGCAGTTTGTTTTTCAGCTATTATATCCAAGGACTTTTTTTCCCTTAATCCTAGTATTCATCTGAGACAGTGCCCAGAGGGGGCTGTCTCCTGAGACCTACTATGATCAAAGATGATAGGCTAAGCACCAATTAACAAATAATCCTACTTCGGTGCTTGTCTGAGGTATGGGATGGTAGCCTAATATTAAATTCTTAACAGATAGAGTGGTCTTAGCTGGACAAGCAACGGAAAGCTTGCCAAAGAGTGCTACCAATGGTTTTATGTGGTTTTATTTAGCTGGCTAGATTCCAGCTGTTGCCCACCGCACACTTTGGGATCCCCAAGCCTTGGCTCTTGCCAACCTGCGTCAAATACTTTTCGGAATTAGGTCAGCAGGATGCGTCCCTCCAGGGAGAGAGTGTGCATTCCAACAATCTTATCTCTGGGATTTCCATGTGTAGGTGGAATGTATGGAACTTTGCTTTATATGGATAGTCTTAAACATGGTGATGGGTTTCCGCATGTGTCAGACACCCAGTGTGACCAAAAAAAAGATTTAATTCCCTCCACCTTTCCCATCCCCACAGGGAAGTGTCAAGCTTTCGCTCAGTGCCTCGCTGCAACTGGACCTAAGAGATCAGGGACTCATAGAGGAGCTGAACCTGCATCCATAGCTCTGCCCCAACTGAGATGAGAGAACAAGTGATCCTTCACTCGTGATTGGGGGTGTGGGAATCTGGCATGTGATTCAATTCCTTCCAGATTTTCCCTCCACAGGGATGTGTCTAGTTTTTGCTCAGTGCCTCTCTGCACCTGCATACAAGAGATCAGAGACTTGTGGAGGACAATAGTAATAATGGTTACATTTGATATTGCATCTTATCACGTCATTGAGCCATCTCAAATGGATACACAGAATATACTGTAAATGAATTAATTGACTGTATACTTTGTGGATGAAGGTGTATCCTTATTGCAGAAGATATATTTTTTAAGTTGCATTTGATATAGTGCCTTATCATGTCGTTGAGCCATTTCAAAGCACTTCACAGGATATATTGTACAGTGATGTGACTGTATTTTGCAAGTGAAATGTAGTGCACCAACAGTGCAAATTCTGTTCACCATTGCACCTAGATTTATAGAGTGCAAAAAAAGTTAACCTGTATTTTTTTTAAAGTTGTTCTTGGAATGCTGGAACTAACAAGTTAAATCGTGATGGGCTCTATATAAATGCAAGTTGTTGATGTACTAAGATTTTCACTGTTCAACCGGGACATCTGGTTTCATTTTCTCAAAAAGAACAAGAAAAATAATATATTTGTTTGTTGACTCGTGCCACGTCTCTGATTTAACTTCTTGGTTCATGGTACTAATGGAGCAGAGTTATCTAAAAGGGATTTAAGAAGAAATTTATTTACACAGAGGGTTTCAGGGAACTCGCTGCCAGCAGTTATAATTGAAGCAGAAAGTATCAATGCATATAGTGTCAACGGAAACTCGATGCATACATGAGACTGAAGGCGATGGAGAAGTATGGGGAAGGCTTAGGAGGATGGATTATATGGGTGGCGGCTTGTGTGGCATATAAGCAGGCAGTGGAGACAAATTGACTGTTTTGGTGTAGGTTCTGTCTAACATGCGACTTAATTGCTCAATTTTTACAAAATCTGTTTTCACAATGAATAAACTTTTTTCAAAGAGCATGTTGTAGGCAAGTAGCCACTTGTTTGGTCTTAATATTTGTGTTTTATTACTTTAATAAAATCTGGTGAGTATAATTCACCACTTTTAAAAACAGCTGTTTATTAAACAAAATATCATGGATTGATAGAGCCAAAGAATTTTACAGAACAATTGGAGGTCGTTCGCCCCATCTAATTCCCTCTTTAAAATTAATCTGGATTCTGCATCACCCGCAGATCCAGGTAGGGAATTTCATGTCCCAACAACCTTGATGCTATATTAAAAAAAATTCCCTAACCTTTTGTTCTGTCTTTCTGTGACTGAAACAAGACTCTTGTGATTCATGTACACAAAAAAATCAGTTTTTCTGGGTATTAATTTTTGATCATGTCTTGATATTTTCCCCCACACAGAAAGTTTATGAGTAAGCAGCAGAAGCCAGTGCTAACAGGCCAGCGGTTCAAGACCAGGAAGAGGGGTAAGTCCACCTGCTTCATTCCTTCAGGTGTAAAATATTTTGATGTATGATTTTGAATGTACTGATTTGGTTGGAATCCTAGTGACTAAAGCAGTGTGCCCACCTCTCAGGTTCCTGATGGGACACGTTTCATCTTTCTCTTCTGTTATACTCCCATTCTCCTCCCCAGGTGACGTTTTTACTTTTGTTTTTGTTTCTGGGCGATGGTTCTGGACATGCTTAGGATCCTCGCTTGAGTTACCATGTGTGTGTGAGCCTTGGTGTCTTGAGCCTATTTGACCACAAGGGCATCCACTGTGCCCTTTGGTGTCTGGTAGATTGAAGATGTGTACAACAAGGATATCTGGATAGAGTGTATGCAGTACAGGGCTGATAGCACTGGTTTACTTACAAGACATCTTCCTGCACTGTTCATGTGTGTTGTGCTAGACTGTCTGGTTGCACATCACATCAATGCATAGGCTAACCTGGTTGTAGCTTCAGCATTGAGAGGTGCCAACTTTCTACGCGCCCACACAGCACGCAGAAAACGACATTGATGACAAACGAACAACTCCCGAAACAACTACTTTTCTATGCACATGTGCTGTGATGTCACTGTTCATATGCCTAGTGATGCCACGATGCGAAGGTGCTGACCACCACCAATCGTGCCTTATCCTGGCAGGTTAGGATTTTTAAGGACTCCCAACTACTGCACTGTGCAGTGAATATATTTTTCTCCTCACCTTCCTATTTCTCTTCTCCCTCTTGCCCCCACCCCCAAAAGAATCCCAAGGTATTGAGGCCAATTGTAATACCTCAATTGCAAACGATTTAGCCACCGATTTTTCAATTGAATTCCTTGCTCCACTAAATTTCTTTATCATCTATGCTTCTGATGTTGTCAATGAAGCGTGGAGTTCTGTACAACTGAGAACTGATTGAAGTTGACAGACTGGGTGTCTTTACAGATTATTGTGCATTAGTGTCCTTGAAAAGCAAACAGCAAAATTTTTTATTAATTTGTGCTATGCATTCAAAAGATGTGAGTGCGGATTTATAGTATGAAATCCCCCGTGCCGGCTAGCTTTCGCCTTTAAAAGATTGAATTTTGGGGTCTATAGGGCGGCACTGATGTAAAGATGGACTTCTTGGTGCAGCAATTGGTCGTGCACAAGTGTGCAAGTAGGATCACAATCACAACAATATAGCACTTCTCTCTTGCATCAGGAGGAAAAATATCTCCTATCGTAGTGGCTGTTTGTATTTCCTTGTAAAGTGCCGCTGATACCATTGCTAAATAAGGTCATTTTGAATCCTGTGGAATTGGCAATAGTGCAGTTGAAATCCAAGATTATCATTGAGCTAACGGGAAAGTGGTGTACATTGACTGAAAATTGAGTTTTCTTGTGCAGATGAAAAAGAGAAGTTCGAACCAACAGTCTTCAGAGACACCATTATTCAAGGTCTTAATGAGGCTGGGAACGATCTGGAGGCAGTAGCCAAGTTTTTGGACGCAACTGGCTCAAGACAAGATTACCGTCGCTATGCAGACACCCTGTTTGATATTCTGATAGCTGGGAGCATGCTTGGTAAGTGTGAATCTTGGGTACATAATTGAGCTGAACTTAATGAAGAGCAAAATGAGGGTTTATATCAAACTCAAGGTTTGTCTTCCTGAACCTGTTAGGTTTGCCACCAAAGTTAGGCTTTCTAAGAAAGCTTCACTTTTTGTAATAAGTCATCTTCTGTTCAGTTCCATTACTTATTACCCATTAAAGTTTTTTTTAAAAAAACTAAATTTAAACTTTTTAATAAAAAAAAGTCCACAAACTGAAGCGGAGAAGTGTGTTGTGCAGCAATGTTTCTTGGCATGCACCAACTTGATGTTTCTCACATAATTAAATGTTTCTTATATATTGAATCAAAATTTGACAAGTGCTTTTCTCTTCTCTCCCCCCCCCCACCCATCATACACGGTACACTTTTATAAATGGTACTTAACCTTTAGATTTGCATTCATATTTAATGCAGCCAAAAAATGAATCTGGATTAAATTCAGTTAATCAGGGCCGTGATGCTCTTTTATAATACAGTACTTTTGTTGGTAATCCCGAGAAGTGTTCGAAATAGTTGACAAAATCAGAATGGCAGATACTATTAGTTTGGTTAATTGGGTTCTTACATGTCAGTGGTTCTTTGAAGGCATTAGAAATCATTGGGATTATCTTGACAAGACAGTCAACCATAATCCTTTATAGCTGCTAAAGTGACTTAATGGAAATAAATGTGCATATTTTTGAAAGGACGAAAAAAATCTAGGGTATAAAATCGAGAGATAATAATAATAATCCTTGCATTTGATATAGCGCTTTTCACGTCTTCTAGACATCTCAAAGTGCTTCACAGAATTTACAGAATAGACTGTAAAGTGAATTGACTTATATTTGTAGGCGAAATGCGGCAGCCAATTGCGCACAGCAGTGTCCCACAAACAGTCGTGGATTGAATTTACCAATTATTATTGTTTTTTTTTCTTGAGGGATTATTATCAGGCGTCTGAAGTAAGGAAACTTCCCCAAGGTTTCACCCTGCCGGGAATCAAACCTAGGTCTCATTTGTCACCATGTTCAGAGTGACTTCTTCCGTAAAATGGATGGAGTGACGAGGTGACAGCTTGTTTCAGCTCGTCCAAAGTCCAATATCACTTTTGTTATTATAATAATAATCCTTGCATTTGATAAAGCAAATAGCAAATTAAGTTATTTAATAAACTGGAAGCTGCTTTGACACATGATTTAAATATTACAGATTATTCCTGCCAAAGTCTCTTCAATCTGTCAAACTAATTTATTGTCTCTTCAGTCAGTGAGAATTAGTGCAAAATGGGCATTTGAGTTAACAATAAAAGAAAATATTTGTAGATTAGTGCCACAACCGTGTTTCAGAATAGCCTCATTTCACACCTACCCCTGAGTTTAATGAATGGCCCAGCATGGCTTGGTTCCTATCATTCAATGTGAAATGTTTCCTGCTTGCAATTGTTTTTTTAGCCAAGGTAAATTGCTTCTTTAATCATCTTTCACAATTAAGGTTCTTTCATCAGCAGGTTATTATTGCAAGTTTACTTTTTTTTAAAAAAATCTGTTGCTTTAATTCCACAGTCTGTTTCCTGGTCACTTTTATTGTTCAACCATTTCTGCCTTTTAATCCTTTGGGATTGATGCTGCACACAGCAATGTTGTGTGCACATTGTCAGAAGTGTGCTGGAATTTACCCTCTGTAAAGCATCATCTGTTTTAGATCTCTGCCTGAGGAAATAATGTCTAGTTTACAAGCCAAACTTTTGTACAATTAAACTTAACCAAAATTCTTTTGAAAAGTGCTGTACAATTGTGTTTAAAATCAAAAATATACTGTTTTTTCATTATATCCATTTCCTTGTAAGTAAGAAGTGGAAACTTGAGTCCCCGATGTGCACACAATTTCTTGTCTTATGATGGAGCTAAATTTTTGAAACTAGGTGACGATTTGTGCCATCTGCCATGTTCCTGTATATGATCCCTCCTGTAAACAACAAGTAGGAGTTTGATGTAACAATACTGCAAATCTGCACGCTATTAATTCCTTGAGCCAGGCAGGCCTTTGTTCCATCAATATGCACAATGAAACTTTATCTGGCAGATGTGCAATGTATTAACCCAGATTTGCAAGGATTAAGTAAACTGATAACTGGATTAAATCTTGCTAAACTCGTCACTGGATTAAATCACGCTCTTGTCTCAAGAATTGTAAATCATGCCGTGTGTACATAACCGTTAAATCTATTGCAATTGTGGACATTGGGGAGGGTTGCTCCAATTTTCTCCCCTCTCCTGAAAATCCTGCCGCTTGCTAAGGTGTAGTTCCATTGGTACAGGTCAATCCTTTTCCAAACGGCCATTCTTCGCAAGTGAACTAGAGAGTCATTATGATGCATTTGATGCTTTCCTTGTCTGATGTTCATATGCCCAAACTCTGTAGCTGGGGGTCACTGGATGGTGATAAACCATGGGAAGCCTGCCTAGCCATTTTTAGTTTATATCTCTCTATCCCCCTACTTCCTTTCACACACCCAAGAGTATACTAGTTACTCTCACAAACATAGGATCAGATTTTCTTTGCATAAGTGATTCTGTTGCAAACTAGGCAGTGCTTTACCCACTGAGCCATCAGGAAGCCCTCAGCCCTCTCTCTCCCCCCTGCCCCCCCTCCTCACCCAACTCCACAGATATGTTGTAGCAAAAAATATTAACCTGCGTCTGATGTTTTTGCTGCTAAGAGGATTGAAATCTGAAGTAATGTGATGTTGCAAACTCTGACATATGTTTATGTGAGACTTTTAGAAATCAGCAACTTATTTATTCTTATTTTGTAGCCCCAGGTGGAACTCGCATTGATGATGGGGATAAGACCAAGGTGACTGAATACTGTGTGTTTGGTGCCACTGAAGATCAAGAAACCATCCGAGACTATGCTCAGGTAAACATTACGCTTGGAAGTAGTTGAAGTGGATCATATCACTGTCGAATGCTGTTTAAGATGATACAGTACTAACTAATCTCCTGTCTGGGATCTTGTGAAATAGCTGCTGCCACTCAACAATATTGGCAAGTCGAGAAGTGAATGAACAGGGCAATTTAACATTTATTTTAAATGCTGATGTTGTGTGCCACTTGAGAGAATCTGTAAATGATTTATTTCTAGCAGAAGTGAGCCTTTTTATTTCAAAATGACTTAATTCAAAATAATATTTAATTCAAGAAAGCATCTCCCAGTGCAATACATCTCTTTTACCAGAACTGATGATGCGATCCTCTCCGTTTGCATCACCCAATGTTATTTATATGGACAAGAACACAATGGGAAGTTTCTTATTAATGTAATCGTTCTCCGATTGCAACACATGATTGCGAGGCTCAGAATGCAAGGTTCAGTGTGCACAGTGCAGAATGATAATGAGCGAGTCTGCAGTTGGGGCCCTGTACAGTATTAAGTGCTGGGATCTATTGCAGTTCTTTCCCTCCAGGTTCCTGCACTCCTCTCTGGTCTTCCTAGTTCCAACATCTACAAGGTCTAGCTCATCCCAAACCACCGCACGCATCCTCACCAGTACCAAACTCTGCATACCCATTATCCCAATCCACTGACTCCTTGCTTCTGAAAGCATCAATTTCAGGATACTAACCATTGCATCTAAATTTTCGTTAAATACAAATCTTTAATGTGTTTAAGGACAAACTGCAGATTGTTCAGTTTCATGCTTAGTGCCTGCAATCTAATAACTTTTTTATTTTACTTTAGGTCTTCAATAAGCTCAACAGGCGGTACAAATACCTGGAAAAGGCATTTGAAGATGCAGTTAAAAAGGTAATGGTTAAAGATGATTTCAGTTGGGCTCAGCTTTACATTTTTTCCTTTTTGGGAAGTCTGAAGAACTTTCTTTCTTAGTAAACTTACATAGCTCCCTCCCTCTCCAAGGCGTATATTTTAGTCATATCCCCGACTATGGGCCAATGGACACATCTGCTTTTCACTGGGTGGCTTGTCTCTTCATTTCTCTCCACGAGAGAGTATATCTGCTTCAAAGCCAGTCAGGATATCGGAGCCTGCTGACAGTTAAACATTTAGCCATGAACTGCAAAGGACACAGTATCACTTAACACCCTGAGGTGGGGTATGGTGTTTTCAATATGCTTTATTCAGTTCCAGGGCCAGAGTGATTGTGAATAACATGAGTGAATGACATCCCACACATGTCAACAACAATTTGAAGCCCTGAGCCCTTCCCCATATAGGAACACATTAAGCTTGCTGTGGACGTCAACATAAATTGCAACTTACTTTTATCAACAAACTTTTCATGTCCATAACAGCATTGAGTACATTGTGTTCTTACCACTTTTGGGTGTGCGCAGTCCCCCTGGTGGGATAGTGCAGCACTTAGTGTGCGCTCAGATTACAGCTCCCAGCACACACCTGACTGACGGTAACTGACAGCATTTGGTTCATTTTATGTCGAAACCCACTTATGTCAACAAAATCTGCTCAGTCCCTGTGTGATGACATAAATGGGTAGGACTGTACACGAAAATCGTGACTGTTGCAAGCGGCATTCAAAGTGTCTGATGAATCCTCTCTCCCCTTCCAAGTGCCCTTTCTCTTTCTTAAAATAAATGTGTTGTCTTTCCTCAGCTTTTACTGTTTCTGAAAGCATTTTCAACCTCCGAGCAGACTAAGTTGGCAATACTCACTGGCATCCTGCTGGCTAATGGATCACTTCCAGCTACAATTTTAACCAGCCTCTTTTCTGATAGCTTGGTTAAAGAAGGTAATACTTAAAGCTACTTTCATATGTTTTTTTTAAACAATGCAATGTTTCCTGGGCTTTGTTTAGTGTTTCAAAAAAGTAGATTAAATAAATAAAATGGCTTGATTCTACACCTCGGAACAGGACATTGTGTCGTCAGTCATAATGACCAACAGCTCAACTATTGCATACACTTCTAATAAGGACAGCACTGTGTTACGAAGCAAGGCATCCATTGTGCTTCCACAGTGGTAACAATGGTACAGTGAGGAGCTCAGCAAAAACTGATTTACACTAGATGAGAACAGTGTGAATAAAATGATACAAATTAAATCAAACCACCACTGGTATAAAATTAATTAATTTATTCAGGGGTGCGATAGGCAAAAATATGTTTTATATGAAGGTATTTACAATTGCCATGTTTTCTAAGGGCACTTCCTCTTTCATCCTACTTGCCCCAACTTTTTCCCTTTCTCCTGGAGCCCTCAGCTGAAAAGCCAACCCTTGAAACCATTATTTTTCATGCACAACCCATTTGGAAAAGATTAACATCCCTTCTGGGTATATTGTGTAACCGCATGTCTGGCTTCTGCTGGTTTACTGCTAATTTCTGGCATTTGATTGGCAACAAGTTCGGGGGCAAACCCTAGAGTTCAAGTGCAAGCTTAACTATAATTGATTATTGCTCAACATATTTAAAACTCTTCCAAAGGAATTTAAGCTTTCTTACCTCTTAATTGTGTGGAACATTCTGGACGTGGCCATGGAATTGAAGCCAAAATCTATGTATATAAATGTATATGTGAGTATATCCAATTTTAGCCCTTCACAAAAGTATCTGGTGTTCTCATTCTCTCTTCCCCCCTCCCACCCCCCAGTTCCCACTCCCACTGGGGTATAGTTCCGTATCTTGTACCTCACCCAAAGTAGATGTTTCTACTAGATGTTTCTAAGTGTTGATAATTTTTGTTGTAACCAAATGCCCTACTCTTCAGTTTTAAAGAAAAAAAACGGGAGGGGGGGCCAGAGACACAGAACCTTTTCCCTGCACACAATTTATTTTAAAAAAATTACTTTAAAATATGTTAATCTTAATCCAAAATGAATATCTTTGAACAATTACATTTTTCTAAGTTGTCATGTACGCAAGTAGTGCACAAATACAAATAAATTGTCCATGGAATGTGTATGTAATGTAAATAAAAAATAAATAAGCATGTAGCCTTTTCGGTTAGATGGTTGGTTCAAGATGTGATCTAGTATAGTGCTAGTTTCAGATGTGATCGGTATAGTGCTACCAAGATTGCCTGAGTAGAATGCATCAGAAAGAAATTCCTTTCCTAGCTCTCATCAGTCATCACACCCAACATATGTGGAGAAAGCACTTGGCCAAGACTTCTTTATGAAGGAAACTTGCAACTTTTGAATGTGTTTTAGAAATGATCTTCTGCTAACTAATGAGGCAAAGATTGGAAGTGGAGAGTCTAAAGAGAACCAGTTAAGGTAAAGCACTTGAGCTGGAAACTGAAGGGATACAGTGAACGTTGAAAACAAATGTAAAGTTCTGCTTTCAGATGTGCCAAGGCAGCATGGCAACAGGGGATAGGTTAAGGCATGTGAAGGGTAATATTAGAAAAGAGGAAACTAGAGGAAGTGTTTCTTTCTGCAAGAGGGTGGTGAACAGTGAAAATGGTTACCAGAAAGGGTGGTGGAGGTCACAGTGCTTGGGCTCATTTGAGGAACTATTTGAAGTAGTATTACCCTGAATAGTACTGGAGTGGGGGAGCATTATTCTAGTAGAATGAAATCAAATGAGCCAGACTCCCGTTTCTGATAAGAAAGGTGTATGTAAGCGATAGAACATAAATATTTTGATATAGGGCCATTAAGATCTGGGATGCCTGACCTGCTCCTGTACAAATCTGGTACCACTGGGTCATGTCTGGTTTAACCAACAAGAAATTGCACTGATCAGTACCAATCTACTTTCATCTGTATTCTGTAAAACTTCTCCATTTCTAATTGTATCTGGCTGTTTTAGGAGAAAATGGTTAATTTATTTTCCCCTCTTCAAAACAGGAATATCTGCATCGTTTGCTGTTAAGGTTTTTAAAGCTTGGATGGCAGAAAAAGATGCAAATGCTGTTACCTCATCCCTTAGAAAAGTCAACTTGGACAAGAGGCTGTTGGTGAGTATTTCTGGGCTAGAACTTGTTTCAGATTGTAGGTAATGCTGAAAGATTCTGAAAGATTTGTGCACAATTTCACAAATTTCATGAGGATTTTAAGTTTATGCAACATTAAATTGACCTTATTTTTCATTTGCTGTCTCTTGCACTATTACTTTTACACAAATATTAGTAAAAATAGGATGATAAACTATCTGCAGTAATTTTTCAGTATGTTTCAATCATAAAAAGTCTCTTGTGCAATTCTAGGTTTATTTTGGTAAGAGGAAAGCAGAAAGAAGCTAGAAGGCTACATGATGTTTGTGTAATGTGAACAGACAATGAACGTCAAGTCAATGTGACTTTGGAATATTCTTGTGGATGTTCGTTATCCACGTTTGCCTGCAATCCAGAAATGTTTCACTAATTTGATTGCTGAATCTTAAAACTTGTTTATATTGACAGTTTTGCCTGTTATTACCTGGGAAAAGTTGAAGAAATTCTAAACCATTTTATGCGAGTGGGTTTGCAATGATGTTGCCTTGTAGCAGATAATGCTACTGTCCAAAATTGCAGTTTATGGTTGGTTGTTAGCAAAGTCTTTACGAGTTGAAAGGCTTCAATTATTCTGTGTTGGCGTGCTATTAGATGCATTTTGAGTGTACATTTGGGCGTTTTTTGGCAGCTGAAGTGGCAATTTAAAAACAACGATCTTCAAATAAGCTATTGGTTTGATATCTGCTATATTTTACTAGAGATCTGAGCTTAAAAATATGTTAGACTTGCTTTTAACCTAGTTAAAGCTGCCAAATACATCTTTGCTCATCACAAATAACATTGTGAACACTGGATATGGTATTTTGTTTTTTACAGGGAACAATGTTTAGAGTCTAAAGCTAAGCTAGTTGTTTTGTTTCCCCTCTTTTTCATTTCCTTCTCCCTAAAAAAACAGGAGCTCTTTCCTGCGAATAAGCAGAATTTTGAGCATTTTGCCACATACTTCACTAATGCTGGTCTGAAAGAACTCTCCGACTTCCTGCGAATCCAGCAAAATCTGGGAACTCGCAAGGAACTGCAAAAAGAACTTCAAGAGAAATTTTCTCAGGAATACCCTGTACGGGAGGTATGTACAGTACTGTTTACTTTGCCATATGTTATTTGCCAGATAATTTGATGTTGTCTTTATCCTCAGAGTTTTGTGAGGGGGGTGGGGGAGAGGGAGGGTGTAGCTGGGTTGGTGCTGTACTTGTATGTTATTAATAATTGACCATCCTAACTGGGTTATCGAAACTTGAAAGGGCAGATGTCACACAAAAAAAGAGATTTTTCCCACTCGGCCTTTTATATTCTGAGCCAACCCAAATGGGTGAGCTGGTCTCAGCTGCAAAGCCAGTAGCAAGTTTATCGATGCCTTGCACTGCACTGATTTGTGGGGTTTAAATGCCTTCTGTCAACATTCACTTGTTTTTTCTGACTATCCTCCTGGGAACAAGGAGATAAGTGGGGTATTCTTGGAGCTGAAATGGCAACAGAATGTCAGAATCAAGCCCACTCCCTGTGTTTTCTGGGTGTCAGACTAGCTCTTATCTTTGAGTCAGAAGGTTGTTGGTTCAAGGCCCATGTTGGGACTTAGAACTCTTAATTTAGGATGACCCTCCAATGCAGTATTGGGGTAATACAGCATTGCTGGAGATACTGTCCTTCAGATGACATGCTAAACTGCCTATTCAGGTAGACATTACGATCCCATTGCACTATTAGCTTTGGTGTGGGGTGGGGGGTGGAGAAATCACAGGTTTGTGGCAGAAGTTCTCAAGTTGAGGCTTAAAGAATGTTTCTACTTCTACAACACCATGTTGCATTGAAACAACTTGAAGTACTTCAAGTCATTACTGTCTGTAGACGGTTATTGTAGGCAAATAAAGCAGCCACTTCTGCCTGCAATGACTTACAGACATCCATTAGGTGAATTGCCAATTCACCAATTGGCTGCAGTTGTGTGCTGAAATTGAAGTCAGAAGTTTGCAGCAATTTGAAATTGATTATTTTCTTTAAAGGCACATAACTCAGATGAAGCCAGTGAACAACACCCTTTGTTGGAGTATTGATTTAACTTTTTTTTAAGTCTTTCCAGTTGCACACCAGTTGTAATGACGATTGCTTTACCCAGCAAAATTAATTTTTTTTCTTAAAAAAAATTGTTCCACCAATAAATGTTTTCACATTACACTGTTGTGCACCTTAGATTGTCCTGTATGTCAAGGAAGAGATGAAAAGAAATGATTTGCCAGAGCAGGCGGTGATTGGATTACTGTGGACTTGTATAATGAATGCTGTTGAGTGGAATAAAAAGGAGGAGCTAGTCACAGAACAAGCTCTGAAACATCTAAAGGTATGACCCTAAAGCGAGAATGCCTTTCTAATGTCTTGACGTCTGATAAATGGTGAAGGATTATTCCAACTATTTGGGGAAGGATTGTCATAGAAAGTGTTAAAAAGATTAGAATTTGTTTTGGCTGCCCAGATGGATGTTAGAGCATGGAATGCTTTGTCCCAATTGGAGCTGAGATTTATAACAAAGGTAAAGTAGAGTGGAACCTCACTAATCAAATCACTCAAGTGACTGGGCAAAAGTGACCTACTTAGTGAGGTGACCTGATTACTGAAACACGATTACACGGGATGAACACATTGATTTTTAAAATTACGTAGGGTGAGCATTCAGCAGCCAGACTTTGCAATCTTATTAAAATGAAGTCATTGTCATATTTACAACAGATCTTGGGTTTCATTATTCAAAGTTCTGAGAAGTTAAGATCACACAAAATATTAATTTCTTGAAGAGAGGATCAAGTGTTGTTTGCCCGGCTGCTGATTTAACCTGCATTACCTTGGTCTGTAGCTGACCCTTAGCATCAGCCAAAGTCTGCCACACGTCGAGTCTATGATGAAGGCAAAAATCCTTCACTTGTCCCAACAAACCCAGGGCGGCAGCATAAGCAAGAGGGGTCTTTTATATTGTCGGTTGCTCTTGTTCCTTGTCCTGTGTGCCCCATTCCACAGTGTCCCTGGAAGGCACCGTGGGGAAATTAAGAGGGGTTTGGTTGATTTCTCACTCACAATGTTGGAGCCGTGTGAGGTAGCAATGAATGGGGCAAACAGGATGATGAGTTACATTGCCTATCTGTTGAGTTCAGATCCCTAGAGTTCATGCTGTGCAGTGGCTGCCCCTAGAGTACTGTGTACATCCTATTTGTTGTGTTCTGAGTTAGTGCAGAGGAAAGCAACGAGGATGATTCCCCCCACCCCAGGTTAAAGGATGAGCTAGGAAGAACACCTAGAAAAATTAAACTTTTGAAAGGACAACTCCAAAGAGATTTTATTAATGAATGTATTGTGGGATTGAGAAAATAAACCAGAACAATACTTTTAGAAGGTTAAGAGGGAACAGGTTCAAGGTTATGAAGGGCAATTTTAGGATAGACCAAAAACTGTTTATTTACAAAAGATAGGGTGTAATGGACTGGTATGGATTAATGTAGAAGAATAGTAAAAGCCATGGTGCTGGGTAGTTTATGAAATAGCTTTAAGTTGTATCTCACTTGCAAACTTTTCAATTAGATGAGGGCTTTTTAACAGTACAAGAAATGCTGGAAGAGCGTTTTCAAGATCTTTCTCTTTAACCATGCCTTCAGTTCCCTCTCGACTCTACCCCCTCCTCGCTCCCTCCCTTCCCTCCCCCTGACCATTTCCCCCCTGCTCGGGTCCTGCCCCAACTGTCCAGCGCCTTGGGACGTCCTCCCGACGTGAAAGGCGCTCTATAAATGAAATCTTGTTGTTGTACTGGGATCTTTTAAAAGCCTCAGTTTTATTTATAACTAAAAATTGAATATTATATTTTAGAATATTTGTGGTGCAAAAATTTGTCTAAATTTATTTTAAACATTTGTGTTTTCATTGCTCTGTAGTTATAGCTCAGAAAACCATTGAACCTTTTGTAATTGTTTTCAGCAATATGCACCACTCCTTGCAGTGTTCAGTACCCAAGGTCAGTCGGAGCTTATTCTACTCCAGAAGATTCAGGAGTACTGCTACGACAATATCCACTTCATGAAGGCTTTCCAGAAGATTGTTGTGCTTTTTTACAAAGGTAAGTTTCAACTCGAGTCCAAGTCTGCTTCAGAGTAAAATGCTGCTATTTGCATTTGTCTGTACAGTGCCTGCATTTACAGGGGAATCATTCCATTTCAGTGTTAATGGTGAAGCCAACACAGGTGTCTGACCCATGCAATGGAAACCCATCACCATCCTTAAGAGTATCCAAACCAAAGAGTTCCTTGTATCCCACCCATATATGGAAATTGTAGAGCTGCTTATTTGAATGGAATGCATGCTTTCCCCCTGGAGGGTTGCATCCTACTGACCTAATTTGGGGAAATATTAGGTGTTGGTTGGCAAGAACAAAGGCTTAGGGACCCCAGACTGAATTGGGATACTACTGGAGTTGAACCATCTAAGACTGCGTAGTTTGCCATTGGGACCACTGTCTGGCTTTCCCGCTGCTTCCACTCTAAGCTAATGCAAGAGTTCCAAATTTCAATGAATAGATATATCATAATGGCACTCTAGCTTTCCGTTGGCAAGAGTCCAATCCTCTAAAACCAGGAGAAAGTTCATTGCTAGGTACTTGTAACGTGTGCCAGGAGATTCAAGTGATCTCTGCACACAACAGGCACTCAACCTTGGGAAGCAAAAGCACTCGGAACAAGTTCAGCACATAATCTAGTCAGTGCAACTCAAGTACCATTATTGAATAGACCTGGATTATCCAGCCAGATTACTCTAATGCAGCCTTAATATCTTTTACGTAGACCAGAAGCTCATGACTACAATATCTGCTTGAACTATTACATTTGTAGCATTGAGTCAGTAGCCTTTAAATATCACTGAGCATATGTGCCAGCCCACAAACCAGAAATGATGGATTCAGAATAAGACATATAGTCTTCATAAAAGAAGTTTGCCAGAGACTTGAGTGCTTTGTGTTTTAAGATATATTGACCTTCCCATAACTCCTCTGAATTGCAGCTGATGTCCTGAGTGAAGAAGCCATCCTAAAATGGTACAAAGAAGCACATGTTGCCAAAGGCAAAAGCATCTTTCTTGAGCAGATGAAAAAATTCGTTGAGTGGCTGCAAAATGCTGAAGAAGGTAATTTGAAGCTATTGCATCATTGAATGTTAGCACTTTTAATGCCGGAGGTTGTGCTTTTTTTTCCTCTTCTTTTCCTACCTAAATTTTATAACTTTGGCAACAACATTTGTTGCAGTTAAGAATTTTTTAAAAGACCATTTATGTTCTCTGGTCGTGTTCAATATACTGTATTGTACATAAACACGCACACATGCTTGTAAACCCAGACTTGCGAAACTGGTACATTTTGTTATATTGATGCAATATTTTCTTTTGTGCATTTAAATGGTTTTATTGCTGCAGTTTTTCTCCTTCTTTGGGGTCAGCCGAGGGTCTTGACACATATGGAAACCCATCACCATGCTTAAGAGTTTCAAACATGGGAATGCTCGAGAGATTTACTCGAATGGAACGCGTACACTTTTCCCTAAAGGGATGATGTCCTCCCGAAGTGAAAGGCACTAATAATAATAATAATAGTTCTTGAATTTTATAGTGCAGTGACTTTTGTGGGCTGTATAAAATATAAGGAATATTATTTTTATCTTTGGGTAAGTTAAGTTTTGTGGACCTTGGAAAGGAGAATTTGGAGAAGTCTTTATTTCTTAACTTAACATGTTACCAAATGCACCTGATTTCTTATTTTCCCCCACTCCCAACAGTGCTGCCAGTGGTTTCATTTTATTCTTAGGAACTCTTCAGCCTTTGGGTCCTAAAGATAGACTTATAACTCATTCAAACCTAGAATGTCTCTTCCANTTTTTTTCTACATTGTCTCTCGTACTTTTGCTTGTTCTCCCGTTTTTTAAAAAAACTTATTTTAATGGAATTTCACATCGTGAGATTGTACTGTCTCGCCTGCTCTTTATTTTTCTCTGCCTCTCACTCATCATATCCCGTATGGCCCGTATCGACAATGTGGAGTCCTGTAGCTCAGTGGTTAGAGCACTCGCTTTGCAAGCGAGAGACCTGAGTTCAATTCCAGGCAGAGGGCGAAACCTTGGGCAAGTTTCCTTACTCCACACAGAGCCTAATAATAATCCCTCCAAAATCAAAAACAATAATAAATTGGTCATTTTCAATCTACGACTGTTTGTGGGACATTACTGTGCGCAATTGGCTGCCGCGTTTGCCCACAAATATACAGTCAATTCACTTTACAGTGTGTTCTGTGAAGCGCTTTGGTACGTCCTCCCGACGTGAAAAGCGCTATATCAAATGCAAGGATTATTATTATTATTAATAAGAGTGCCAATTCACCTGCTTTTATCTTTTCCTCCTACCTTTTACCTTACTTCCAGTCCTCTACCTCTAAGTGTTTCATTTCTGATTAAGCATCATCTTGATCAAAATGTTAGCCTATTGTTTTTTCAGGTAGTTATTGGCATGGGTGATTTCAACCTTCATCTCAGTTCCCCCTGCCCCATCTCCTCTGACTTTGCTGCCCTACTCTTCACCCTAAACCTCACTGTCCACAAAACTCCCCGACCCACAACCATGGCCATTCCCTCGACCTCGTCATGGCTTAGACATCACTGATCTGTCCATCACAGACAAGGCCATCTTAAACAACTTGCAGCCAGACAAGGCCATCTTAAACTACTCACAGGGTACCCCAAGATTCCATCCTTTTCCCCCTTTTTTTCCTTATCAATATGCTCCCTCTCTGTGATGTCACCCATAGACATGGGGTCAACTTCCACATGTATATGGATGACACCCAAATCTACTTCTCCAGCTGCAATTCCCAGTCCGTTGATGTCCTGTCAGCTTGTTTGATAGGCATCAAGGCCTGGATGAGCACAAATCTCCTGCAGCTAACTGTTGGCAAGACGAAAGCCCCGTCAACGGCTCCGGTCAACATTTTCTCTCCTGCAGGTCTGACGCAACTTAAGCATCAGGTTTGATCCCCAGCTTTCCTTTCTACCCCACATGCGTTCCCTGAATACAACTGCTTTTTTTTCCACCTCCATCACATTGCTCGCCTCCATCCATACCTCACAACCAAAGCAGCTGAAACTCGTCCACGCCTTTGTCACTTCCTGGCTGGACTGTTTCAATGTCCTCCTCGCCGCTCCCCAGCTTCACCATACACAAAATTCAATTAATTCAAAACTCCGCCACGTGGATAGTCACCTGCACAAAACTCCATACCCCACAGCACCAGTCCTTGCCAGGCTCCACTGGCTCCCAATTACCGATCAGATCGATTTGAAGTTTCTCTCACTCATTTTCTAATCCCTTCATGCCCTCACACCTCCCTACCTAACCAATTCCACCACCTGCGGTCTCCGCTTGGCTGCCTCTGGCCTCCTGTTTGTCCCTCGTCCCCTCTGCTCCACCATCGGTGATTGTGCTTTCAGCCACTATGCCCCAAAACTCTGGAACTCTCCTTCATTACCTCTGCCTTACCTACTCCTTACCCACTCTCAAATCCTGCTTAGTGACCTTTCTTTTTGATCGTGCTTGCAGTCATGTCCCTGTGGCTCGGGGTCAGACTCAACTATTATTGAGCGCTCCCAAACGCTACCCTTCCCCCCCCCCCCCCCCCATGAAGGGAGCTATAGAAATGCAAGTTGTTGTTGACATAGGAGGAGAAGAAGGCCATTAAGCCCCCTCCACAAAGCTGTTATGCCATTTTATTATGATCTGTCCCTCAACTGCAATTCAACCATAAAATATACAGTCAATTGACTTTATAGTATATTCTGTGAAGCACTTTGAAACTTCTCGACGATGTGATAAGCCACTATCTATTGCAAGGATTATTATTATTTACCCTTGTTTGCTCCATACCCCTTGATATCCTTACCTAACAAAAATCTATCGACTTCAGTCTTGAAAATGACCTACTGCAGATTTCTGGTATTCCAGTTTATTAATAATAATCCTTGCATTTTCATGTCTGGAGGATATCCCAAAGCCCTTTACAGGATTTACTATAAAGTGTAGTGACCGTATTTTAGGCAAACGTGGAAGCTTCGGTGTGCACAGGAATGTTCCACAAACAGCCACAAAACAAATTACCAATTTTATTTGGGGGATTGTTGGCAGGGTACCAGGAGAAACTCCCTTCTCTTTATAAGTAGCGCCATGGGATGTTTTACGTCCGCCTGAATCGGCAGACAGGAACTCGTTTTATTTGAAGTGGGGCGGATTCTTCTTTTCTGACAATGTGACATCCCTTCAGCACTGCATCTCCCACAACCTTCTAACTCGGGAGGCGAGCATGCTACAAACTATTGTAGGTTTCCATCCGCTAGTTCTTTTTCAAGCAAGCGGTCAATTTTAAGCTAATCTGGTTGTGGAGAGGCCCTTTAAAAGTGAATTATTGAAATTCTGGTCAATGAAACTGCTTGGACAACAAATGCCCATTGTCAGTCAAGGCAGCAGTTCAACAGCATGTGACTCCATTAATCCTCTGCTGTACAGTCACATGCTCTCGCATCACTACATCACTGTAATTAACAGGAGATCTTTGTTTACAAACCCATTTCCCTGTTATAATATCGCTGTGGAGAAATTACAATTGGGAGATTTTTGGGGGAATTCCAGGAACAAAAACAGTAAAGTCAGAAATGTATTTTTACAGAGGATTGTTAGGATGTGGAGCGCCTTATCACAGATGGCTTTGAAGCCAAGTCCATGACTGTATTTAAAAGAATTGGAGAAACTTCTTGATGAAAACAAATATTCAATATGTAGTAAAAGAGCAGTGGGACTGGAATAGACTAGGTAACAGGGATGGGGAGCAGGTGGTGAATGGAATGAGCACCAACACAGACACCATGGCTTTCTGTGCTGTAGTAATAATAATCCTTTCATTTGATAGAGTGCGTTATTGTGTCATTGAGACTGTATATTTTGTCATCTAGGATATAAATACTGTCACTATACTTTTCAGAAAACTGCCTGAAGTAATTTGTGATCTTTTGGTTTTGTCCTGATAAGATGCTACATATAACATATTTAAGATTATTATAACAGAACACAGAAGACAATATCCCAATAAAACTTGTTTGTATTTCACATTAACCACATTTCAATGTAAATTGTTTATATACAAGAGATATATATATTATATATATAAAAACTTAATAGGCATTTTTTTCTCTTCTGCCCACCTCATTTCTGCTCACACTCTACATTTCCCATGTCCCATTGGTATTTATAGAATCACTTTGTCCTTGCACAAGATAGTGTGTTTTCTTGTCAAAAATATTCTAAAAATAGTGCAACTGATGTTGTAGTTAAAAGCTGTTCTCTGTCAGTATGGCGGTAAAATGTTTACAATTTTATTAATTTCCTACTATATTTCGTTGCGGTCCTGCCATTATGTTTAATGGCCCATTTTTATATTTAAAACCGAGCTTGATAAAGATGGAATTTCAGCAGAGAAACAGTCACTGACTTTCAGCAAGAAAGTGGTAAAATGACTCAGCCTGGCTCAGTTGGCAGCACTCTCTCCTATCCGTCAGAAGGTTTATCGAACTCCAAGTCAGGACTTGGAACTTGTTTACAGTAGTCTAAACTGACACTCCAATACAGTGCTGCATTGGTTGAGGTGCTGCCCTTCAGATGAGATGTTAAACTTGAGGCCCCTCTATCTCATTAAAGGTCCCATGGCAAAAGAGAAGGGAGTTTCTCCCCAGTGTTCTGGCTAACAATCTCCTCAATAAAATTGATGATTCACTAAATGGCTGTTTGTGAGACATTGCTGTGCGCAAATTTGCTGTTGCGTTCACTTACAAGACACATAGTTAAACCTGTGAAGCACTTTGAGATTTCATCCTGACATGAAAGGTGGCACAATAAATATAAGGATTATTAATAATAAAATGTGTTGCATTTGAAATGCTGGATATGTTTAGTGTGAGAGTATGAAAATGAAGTGCGCTTCAGTCAGGATATTTGTTCTCATCTTGGCAATAAGGTAATGCTGTTTGATGAGATGGTGAGAGCGAGTAGGGAGAATAGTGTGTATTATTTTACCATGGTTTTAAATTACTCTGCAGTGTCCATAATGGTGTTTCAGTTTACTTTTCTTTCTGCACCAGTTAGTCCGTGCCTGCTTTTAAGGCCCTAATTTTCTCTCTTGTTGAGCTGGTGTGATATTATCATTCAACTTCAGTTCACGCAGAAAACCAGTTGCCCTATTACTCGGGCCTTCGGGTATGGTATATAAGGTTTTTCAATGACTTGCAACATCAACTGGAGTGCCAAGCAAGCCTTTGCTATTCATATGATGATTCTTAAAATGGTAGGAATATTGTTGACCTAAATGCCAAGTGTCTGCAGATGACCTACTAAAGTCGTCCTGCACACTTCACCTACCAGTCGGTGTTGTGTTCTTGGTTTTTATTTAGATAAAGACCCTCAAAAATAGCAGAAATTATTCTTTGTTTCCAGGATCCTAATAATGGGTCTAGGGTTTAAATCATTTGCCAGAACTGAACACTTCAAAGAAAATATCTTTTTATGAATAACTTTTATTTCCTCCTTTTTAGAATCCGAATCCGGAGAGGGTGAAGAGGATTAGCTTGAAGCAAGCACAAGATACGGTTCACACGGGCCTTCTCCCTCTCATTCATACGGTTGGAGTTGAAGACATTGGTCTTTCAAATCAAATGGAAACCCTAGGATAGCCTTCCTTTTCTGTAGAAGATAAGTTTATAACCGACGTCAAATAACTGGGCCCTGAGGTATTACCGCTTTCTGTGGGACTCCACCTTTGGGGAACTGTGCTGTAACTTTAGTAAAGCTATTCACAAGGGAGCCATGTAGGCTGAAATGAAATAATTATCGACTCCTTTTATTAGCAGTCTTTTCAAATACTTTGTGACCCTTATACAGCGTCTGTTGTAGACCTAGTTTTGTGCATCTTTGTAGCCTAATGCAAGCTTCTGGATATGTGATTTGACACCATGGATTTTTTGAATAAATGTTTTTGTATTTTAAAACTCATCCCAGTAATGAGGCATTTCACTTCTTTCCCAAGAATATCGCATGTTCTTTGACGTTTTTACTTATCCTTATAAAATGCAAAAGCAATTTTGTTTTTATAAAGGCTTCCTGATTTATTTGTTCAGCATGAGCTTCATCTGTTGTTTCTCAGAAGTACTTTAAGCACTGATCATGACCGTATCACTCGTACTTGTACAGACATTGTTGAATTGTTTAGTTCCCCACCATCCAGTAGGAAGTGTGGATATTTAATTATGTGTTTTGCTTGAAAACAAAGTGCTTCAGCTGTTGATGAGAATGGATATTTTCACTCTTATCTAAACAGGATTTGACTCCAGCTCTCTGAAGCGTTAACTTCATTCTCGCAGCATGTTTGTGTACAAAACCACTACACTTTACAGTAAATCCTGTGAAGCACTTTGAGACACTCTCCTGATGTGAAAGGCGCTGTATCCAATGCAAAGGTTATTTATACCTGTTTCTCCAAAATGCCAGTACTTTTCAAGTTTTGTTGATTTTGACATAAAAATTTTAGTTTTTAAATACAAGTTTCAAGTTATACATCCATTTCACCTACAATAGAGACAAGGTTCTCAGTACTGCCAGGTTTTCTCTCTCCCTATTTGTATCCTCGTGTAATTGTTCATCTCTTGTCAAGTTTAGGACAGTCTTGAGTCAGCTGCTCTACAACAACAAAATACAACAAAATTACATTTGTAAAACGCCTTTCACGTCAGGAGAACGTACAAACTACCAATGCAGCTGTAATTTGATTTTGGGAGGTTTAATTTGCACTGTTTAACCCACACTAGTATCTGTTCCAGTATAAAATTTCAGCTGAAATAAAATTTCATCCCTGCTCTTCAGATTTTACTCTGAGAGGTAGGAGGGCGGCTGAAGGCACAGTCGAAAAGGAGGGTCTTGAGCCGTGCCTTGAAGGAGGCAAGGGAGGGAGCAAGGCGAAGGGATTGTGGGATGAAAGGGTGGGGCAGAGAGGCTGGAAGCCCGGACGCCAATAGTTGGGTGGGTGATGGGTCAGGTGGGAAATCTGGAGCAGGTCGGAGTCTGCTGAACGGAGGGAGCGGACAGGTTGGTAGGGGTTAGCAGGTCAGAGATGTAGGAGGGGGCAAGGCTATGGAGCGCCTTTAAAGTGAGGATGAGGATTTTGAATTCTATCCTCAGGGATGGGGAGCTAGTGGAGCCGGGCAAGGGTGGAGGTGATGAGGTTACAGAGCCTGCAGGAGAGGGCACAAGCTGCAGAGTTCTGGATGAGCCTTGAGGTGACGAATGTGTATATGAGGATTCTGGCAGCCTGAGGGGTGAGGCAGTGGCAGAGTTGGGCAATGTTGCAGGGGTGGAGGAAGGCAGAGCGGGTCATGGCATGCATATGGGGAAAGAATGAGGGTTGAATGAGATGCCCCGGTTCCTAACTGGTTTGGTGAGCTGGAGTGTGCAACCATGGATGGTGATGCTGCCAGTGCCTGAGGTGCGGAGCTGCTGGTTCGAACCATTCAGAAGGGCCTCAGTCTTGGTGACGTTCAGCTGTAGAAAGTTGGCTCTCATCCAGGGCAGTTTGTCAGGGCATCAGTTGTCCTGGATTCGAGGGTTGAGGCAAAAAGATAGTTGGGTGTCATCCACGTACATACAGAAGTTGACCTCTTGTCTGCGGATAATGTCACCAAGAGGGAGGATATAGAGGTTGAAGAGAAAGGGACCGAGGTCAGAGCCCTGAGGAAAACCTCACGAGACTGTGTGGGGGCTGGAAGAGAAACCGTTGTCGGAGATAAATTGGAGACGGTGTGAGAGATGAGACCTGAACTATACAAGGACAGAAGCTTGAAGGTTGAGAGTTTGGAGGAGGATGGAGTAGTCCACGGTTTCGAAGGCAGCAGACGTCAAGGAGGACGAGGCAGAGGGAGCCCTGGTCACAGATGGATAGGATGTCATTTGTCACCTCGACCAGAGCAGTTTCCATACTGTGAGCAGCACGGAAACCCAATTGGAGGGGATTGTGAAGGGAATGGTAGGAGAGGAAGGAGCGAAGCTGGGAAGCAACAACTTTTCCAAGGACCTTGGAAAGAAAAGGTAGGTTGGACATGGGATGGTAGTTAGAAGGCAGGGATGGGTCCAGGGAAGGTTGTTTCAAGATGAGGTGATTATAGCTGCTTTTAAGGGGATGGGAATGTGCCAGATGATAGGGAGAGATTCATGGTGTTGGAGAGTAGAGGGGTGAGGAGGTGGAGTTGGAAGGTAAGCAGAGGGATANGGGTCAAGGGAACAGATGGTGTGTTTCATGCTGGATATGGTGGTGATGAGAGAGGAGGGGCAAACAGGTTTGAATGTGTGGAGGGAGGGATAGGTAGGGGTCGGAGTGTGAGGGGAGATGGGGAGGGAATGGCGGTTGGGAGGGCGGAGGCAGCTGAACGGATCCCCTTGATTTTGGACTTGAGGAAATCCAGTATCTCCTCACAGTCCAGAATTTGAGGAGAGAATGACGAGGCATGGGAGGGTGGATGGAGGAGCCGGTTGGTGGTAAAGAATAGGAGCGTGGGGTTGTCCTTGGAGATTATCTTGGAGTAGAAAGACAATTTGGCGGAGGCGAGGGTGAAGCGGTATGGTTTGATGTGTTCCAGCTGGATCTGCTGGTGACTGTTAGAATGGATTTGAGCCAGAGGAACCCCAAAATAATGAACAATTAGAAATGTCATGCGTTCGCCTCCTACACAATCCAATACTTCGTTGGTCAAATTATTTTTTTAAATAACTTTGTTTTCAGACAAAGATACATCATCATCTTCAATTAAACATTTCTGTCTTTTCTTAAAAAAAAGCAAAACGGGTAATGCACAGATATACAGTGTTTGATTTATATGAGCATGAAAGAGAGAAGAGTTGAGGATAAGAGAAGAGAGATGGGAAAGAGAAAGTGACTTTGTCCAATAGTGAGCAAGAGGCATGTACAGTGATGCCACAAATACAGAAAGAGACACGGGGACAGATGGAAAGTAAGGGAAAGAAAAGCAGAGAAAGACTCAGACAAACAATAGACGTCAGCCTGGTTCAGTTGGTAGTACACTCACCTTTGAATCAGAAGCTTATGGGTTCAAGCCCTACTTTGAGGCCACTGGTGGCCAACCTTGATAGATGGCCAACAAAATTAATTTCTTAATTGAATATTTCTTGATTTATGTCATTCTTGACAGTCCCACGGGTAATTTCTGGGCCACATATTGGCCACGGCTGCTCTAGACTTACAGCCCAATGCAGTGCTGGCAGAGAGTTGCATTGTCAGAGGTGCATCCTTCAGATATGGCATTAAAGACCCCATCTACCTTTTAGGAGGATGTTAAAGAACCTATGGCACTATTTGAAAAGAGAAAGGAGTTTCTCCCAATGTCTTGGGAGAATCCATATAAAATTGATCATTCCCTTCATGGCTTTTAATGCAATATTGCTCTGTTCAAAAGTCTGCTACGTTTGCCTTTAAATAAGATTGCTACACTTCACTGTGGAAGGAGTTGTTAGCAGAGTTTCCTTGGGGCTGAGCTGGTTCATTTGCATTTACTTTGTGCCCTTTATGCAGGATAGGGTCTCGGAGTGCTGAAAATATCTCACAAGGGCTGTACTATTTGTAGAAGTGTATCCAACTCTATTGTACCTCAGACTGAATTGGAATATGATATGCCCCATGTGGAAACAGGTGCTAAATGATCTATTTTCTGAACTTCTCACAAGGCAAGATTAGGTGGCAGACAACTGCATACAGTATATGATGAGGTTCTGGGAATCTCTATAATTGACAACATTTCCCAATACATCCGATTATATCCAAAGACCATTTTGTCTCTCAAGGGAATTTCTTTTAGTCAGCTGGGTGATTGACACATGCAGAAACCCCTTTACTGTGCTTAATCCATGCTTACTTACCAAATTCTGGAAAGTAATTGTCTCAGGTTGGCAAAAGCCATGGCTCGGGGACCCGAGAGTGTGTGTTGGGATACCACTGGAGTTTAACCAGCTAAAACCTCACAGCTTCCCATTGATATTACTGTTTGAAAGCTTTCCTGTTGCTTGTCCAACTAGGACCACCCTACCTGTTAGGGCCTGTTAACCCTGCAAACTAAAGCCCTAAGTGGGATGACTCCCTGCCCCCAGTGCCTGGTCTGCCCTTCTAGGTCTGGTTGGTGAGTCAGGCTTGCTGTGCTGTCATCAGCAGTGCACTGGCATACTGCAGAACTGCATGGCTCAGGAACTGAACTACTGAGAGTGGGCTCAATTTTAACATGTCAACTTGGAGCCAGTTCACCTCCAAGTAGACCATGCTTACTTTCACCCCACCCCCCGGAGTCATAGAGGGTCAAAGATAATGTCGCCCTGAATGTTTCAATTCCAGAATGTCTATATTGACAACTTTCTCCTACCCGTTTGTCTTTAATAAATGCAAGATTTATTATTATTAATAAAGCCCTCAATGACTTATTCTTCTCTTGTCAAGTAAAACGTTCCCTTGCTATCTGATCTGACGACACCTAAGAAACAGTTGGTTTCAAAGATGGGTTGACTTGGCCATTCCTTGGATCGTTGAATTTCTTAATTTCAGTGGAATGGATCCAACACTGAAATACTGTATAACTCTCCCATTTGTCCACGTTTATGGTGACATCAGCATCCTGAATTTCCTCTTACCCATCATGTTTTATATTGGAGCTTCTGTGAACCAGCATCGTATCCAAGAAACCTGCTTCCCTTTGAGAATAGTGGACATTATGATCAGGAAGCATTTAAGGGGTGATGACATAGCTTAAAATAATATCTAGCAAACATTCATAAATCGGATACATTTTGGAATTGGTTCTGCAAGAATCCAGAAGAACCTGGATCTCTCATGCCCCATTTTCCAATTTCAATATCTAAGTAGCCACAGCAAATCAAAATCAGCAAACTTTGGAAAAATGCCTTTATTTTATTTCTGCTTTTGACTGGCCACTGCCAGTCAGTGT